TTTTGTTTTGTGGATTATCTTTTGGGAGCACTTAACTTTCCCAACTGACTTCAGAGACAGGCTAGGTGCCTAATTCAGTTTGTTTACAGAACTTGAACATATCTTGGATGTGGCTCCTAGAGTGAGATTGCTGCTGAAGATGACACTTTGCTTCTGGGCCTGAGTGACAGTCAGGAAGTGTTAATCAAAGGCTAGGGAGAGACATTCAAAAAGCTGGAGCCTGAATCACTTCAGCCTTTGCAGATTAGTCTAACTTGCCGAAGTTGGATCAACTTGTAACAGAACAGACATGCTGGCATATACCTGCAGTTGCTCAGGCAAGGCGCCGGGGGCTCTAGAGTACACCCTTGACTGCAGGGAAGCTGTGGGTGGGGGAGGGCATGGGTGTGTGGCCTGTTTGGGCTGAACTGGCCAGAGAGGGGTTTAATTCCCCCCTTTTTGTGCTCCCGGCAGGGACCTGAGCTGGGTCTTCTGGGTGCTTCTTCTCGCTGCTGCAACAGCAGGGCACCATGGCCCCTGAGGCAGAGGGGGACAGGGAATAGGCTTAGTTTCCCCTTTACTCCACTGGCAGCCAGGTCTGCCCACTGGCACTGGTGCACTCACTCCCTGCAGGGGAATAGTCCCCCTGCTGTCTTCCCTGCCAGATACTGGAGGGAGGAGGAATAACCCCCGTCTCTGTCCCCCGCCCCCCAAAGGGCCCTGTAGGCCCCTGCCTAGCTGCTGCAGCAGGAAGAGGTAGGGCCCTTGGTGGGGGCAGGAGCCCCTGTAATAATGTCAGGGAGCATGAGCCCCTTTCTGACAGGGTCTGCTGCAGGGTGGGCAAAGCTTCAGCAGGCTGCATGCAGCGGCTCCAGCATCAGGCGGGGGCCAGAGCCCTCTCCCCTAATGCCGCCAGTGCCGCTGCAGCCTGCAGCAGCTTTCCTCACCCTGCAGCGCAGCTCTGGCCCCCCCACCCCATTATGGACACTCCTCCCTAGGCACTCTAGCAGCCAGACAGGAGCATGGCCAGATTCTGCCAGTTGGGTAGATTTGGCCCATAGAAGGGCTTTTTCTGGCCCCCAGTGGGTCCCTTGGTCCTGCTGGACTGAGACACCACTCCCTGGCCATACAGTTGGGCTGGGGCTGCTCCGCAATGGGACTGCCTTTCTAGGCAGCCCGGCCACAGCAGGTCCTTTGCTGCTGATGCTGGCCCCAACCCCACAGTACAGGCAGGGAGCAGTGTGC